GAAATTGTGCAACTGCTGGTGCCTGAAATTATGCGTCGCACACAATTCGAATATAATAAGACTGAATTGGAGTTGTTAGACAATGAGCTAATGGAAGATAATGTAGGGATGTTAAATGGTGTCGTTTCGTGCCAAAATTTTAAAATTCATTTCTATTTTCTTAGACCCAAACTGAATGGCAACAGTATATAACGCAGTGCATTGAATGCATTGCATTAATTGCTGAACCACGTTCAAGCGAGGTATTCGCTTTAGTGTTTAGCCATTGGGGGCGACCTTATATGTATTTACGGTCGCTGGAAAATGATGTCGATTGCGGTAAAACGTTTGACTTTTTACGAAAAATGAAATCGCAAAGCCTTCCGGAAAATTTAAGAGATTTCACGACCATATGCCAAGCAGTTGTACGGATTATTCCGCTACTGGAGAACAATAATTCAGAATTAGGCAATGAAATTAACTACCACCTAAACGAATTCGCTGAAAATTTATGGACTGTCTTGAAATTTTTAATCAGCAACAAATTAACCGTCTTCGATGTGGATAAATCAATATTCCAGACTGATTTTGATTATTTGTAAATTTCCCTTCCAATACATCGTAGGCAAGCTCATTTTCAAATTTATTAATTTAGGTTATATTTTATAGATACGCCCAAGTTTTAATGGCCATACGAAGTATTTTGCCTTTATCGAATATCTTGAAAGCAGATCAAAAGCTCGTGACAATTTTCGAGGCGTTGACCAACATTTTTCAAACCAATAATTTATTGCGAGGCTGCACAATAATCCAAATGGCTGCCAGTCAGCTATTATTATGTATATCGTCTGTAATACGTCCGAAGAGCCTTTTAGAATTTCCAGCAATTATCAATATTATGCAGTCGGGCCCTCGCCTCTCGCATTTACCAAGCCAGGTACAGGCTAATATATACATTAGTATTGTAAGCTATTTGATATTGCCCTGGAAGAATGTCGATGAACGGGGACAGGATTACGAACATCGCTCGATAATGCTGCGCGAATATGTAGATAGCCTAGCTCGAAGTTTTCTACAATTAGATTTAAATACCATTAACAGTGCCATCATAGCAGAATCTAAAATATCATCAATGTCGTTAAATTTGCTAACAACATTCAGTTTGGTTATTGAATATTTCAAAAGTTCTCCAAACACTTCCAAGGATTTACTATCCACTGCATTCAAGGTACATCCAACGGCATTTATATAAATATTATGATGTAAACTGTACTCCTCTCCTTTACAGCCAATTATTACTAAAGCTTTGATGATTTACAACACTTTCGGCCAAAGTAGTAACATTATAGCGACAACAGTAGCAGATTTCAGTTTAAGCGTATTACATACATTGCAAACTCAGTTAGGAACACAGTTTATCAAAGAGATGATAAACTTATTCATTACAGTGAATAGTAGGTAAGTTGTATGCTCTCATATATTTCACATACACACATCAAAAGTAGTCAAAGTCAAACATTCAATTTTTCTTTTTTTTTTGTTTCTGATTTTTATTTCTTCTAACATGTTGTATGTTGGTATGTTGCAGGGACCAATTGAGTATAAGTACTGCAGCGGTTATCGAAAAAATTTTGCAAATGTTTCAATTAATTGTCAAGCATCCCGGCAGTGCTTCGTTGACTATGATACCATCCATATTAGATTTCACCTTCGCCTACATTATTCCCCTTCTGCAGCAAGACGACAATATAAAGTATAGCGGTGATATAACGAGTGCGGTCTACGATCTCTTTGATAGGTAAGGTATACAAATGATATTTGATACGTTTAGCGTGACTTACTTTTATAATCATATTCACATTTTTAGTATTTTAAATTATAAATGGCAGTACTTTTATAAATTTTATGTGCAACCGAATGGAATTTCTTCGTTTCAAAATGCTATGAACGGTAGCAATGGTGCCATAACTAGTACTACCGAAAATTTACACCCTGAACATTTCATGGCCATAATGAATGCTTACGGTCAGATTTTAATTTCCGGCAATGATCCAAACATTGTTCGCATTGTATTAAATTCATTGCAAAGTGTGCATGATCGCTGGCGTTTATATCAACGTCCGTTATTTAAGGATAATTTATTGGCCTCATTTCAAAGTGCACTAATCTCAGTGCTGCTGACAGGAGAGGGAGCGTTACACTTCGACTTATTAGCGAATACCTTGTTTAATATGTCTCAGGTCGATAATATAAAAATGCGGGAAAGTTTTGCCCAAGCTGGCTTACCGATCAATATGAAATTGATTGATGAAATTTGCTTAACAAAGGTAAGGATTCTTTATTATTCTTCTCTTTTATTTTCAGTTGATACATAATACAAACGAATTTTCTCTTTTATTTCTTCTTTTCCTTCGCAAACAGGACATTCCAACATTTTCACAGAAATTAACTCAGCTAATACAGGACGCGCATTGTGTACATTTAACGCAGAACTAAAACATAGTTTATACGAAAAGAAAGAAAAAACAAGACGAAATTATTACGCAAAAGTGAAAATTTATATTACATTCATCTACATACATACTAAATGTTGCTATTATCCTGCAGCAACAACAAAAATAGATTATAATTCACGATTTCCTTTTATCAAAATCTTCTTCAGGCGATACTTGTTTTGGTCATATTTCCGCTTATCAATTTCGTTTGGCTTTCTCTTCACATCCTGATCGCTACAATAGTCATAAAAAGTTTTAAGTGTGTAATTTATATAACGATTTTCATAACAAAAGAATTTCTTTCGCCTTATTTCAAAATTTGTGACGTGATTGTGTTTTTTAAATTAAACGTTTTCATTTATATTATTTTGCTTTAAATTTAACAAAAGTCTATGAAAATTTGTTTGTTTTTTTTTTTTTTTTTTTTTTTTTTTTTAGTTTAATATATATTTTTTGTTTAACATATCAAAATGTCCGTTTTTAACCTTTCATTTTTGTTTCTTAAATACAATAAATTATGCCACTGTAACATTAACTTGGATATTAAAAAATATTGATATAAATATGATGAGCTTTTCCTGTTATATAAAATAAAAAAATTGATGAATTTTTTTTTAATTTTTATATACTATGATTATTAATTAAGTAAGCTCTCCTGTGTCTGTTGAACACAGTATGTGTACTGAATTTCAATTTTAATAATAAAAGGAATGAAAAGAAAAGAAAGACAATTATGAAAATCATAGTTCTTTCAATTAATTAATAAACAAAAAAAAAAAGAGACAAAACATATATTAGTGATCGCGTCATTTGAATCATTCGGCAGATTTTTCATAGTATATTTTTTAAATGGACGCTAATAAATATTTGTCGACTTTGAAAGATCGTGAATTGTTGGCTAAAATACGTTGAAAATATTAATTTTCATCCATCACTTCAACGATTTGTATGTATATACCGTTTGCGATAAAGGATACACATTAAGTTTGTGTGTATATAGATAATATCCAAAAGGACTTAAGATATGCCCGCTTTTCATGGTACCTTATGTCCATCTGCCTATAGATACAAAAAAATAAGACGGAAATACGGACAGATAAATGTATAGAGAGAAGAAATCCACTCTTTTGATTTATATCATCTTCAGCTGAAATATTTGCAAATAATAATAATTTTACAAGTTAGCCTAAAATTATACCGCCATAATTTTTATTATCAAATTAAACAAAGCCGTCACTAAATTCCCTGTTGAAAGGCAAAGCACAGAGTCGCTTATAATAAACAAATGGTTAAATGCCCAACTAACAACTTAAGTGGTAACGCCATTTAGCTATGTTAAATGTCCAACTTAACAGAAAACAAAGATTCAACTCTGTTAAAATGCAAAGCCGTCGGCACAACAAAAGAAAAGGAAAGTAGGTGGTTTATGCCTTGCAAAAATGCAATAATGAAATGGAACAAAATCGAAAATTACAACCTCACATAACGATTGTTGTATTTGTTGATACGTACTTTCGAGTTCACAGAAAGTGATAAATATAAATATTGTATTTAGGCTCGCCAAGTTTTTTTCCTTTGTTTCCTTTCTGTTTTATTTCATTATGAAAAATTTGTTTACATCTCTCGTCTAATTTTTGTTACGAACGCTTTTCTTTCAAAAATTGGAAATTTTTTTATATTTCTTTTAATTAGATAAAAACAATAAGGCTTGGCTTATGCTTAAAGACCAGACCAGTTGTAGAAACTTAATACGATTTCCGTAAGTGAAACATAATATAGAATACTGGGAATGAATTCCCAGTGAATTTATTATACTAGGAATGAATTCTGCGCTACTTTGAATGGGATAATTCTTGAGTTTAGCAATAGTGTCTCACTTAACAGAAAATCCATATTCCGAGTTGTTTGGATCCTATTTAGTGCTAAAGATGAACAATTGGATTTTACTATATCCCATAATTTATTTATGGGAACTGTGACAAATAGAGAGAAAATATAGAGACGAAGGTAGTTTCACATCTAAAGTGATAAAATTATATGATAAACATTAAAGATAATTTTATATATTCAGAAAAGCACTGGTAAATTGGTCGGCCCTCTAAAACCTATATAACGGCGTACGGCGTCAGTTTGGTGAAATCAGTCTTTTATTTTAATAACGTTGTCAATTGTTTTTATTTATTATTATTATTAATTTCGCCAGAGAAATAAATTCTAAGACCAAACTCTTAAAAGCACTAGCATCTAAGGCTATCGGCCTTCAATTGTTTTTAAATCTGTAGGGTAATCAAGTAGTAAGTAGCAATAGAAAGTTAGCTTTCATGTTGGCGTAAGCTAAATTTCGCATTTGTTTGTATGGCCCTAATTGTTGATAATCTACGTTAAAGTTTCGGTAAGAGGCAAATTAATCAAACTGAATTTTGTTATTTTCACGTACTGCTGCGCGAACAGCTCAGCTGTTTACTTGTTTTCATTTGTGGCTCTTTTATGCAAAAAAACACCTCTTTTTATTTTCTAAATTTTTCTTTAAAAATTAGTCGTGCGTGCCTTTAATTGTGAAGAAATTATGTTACTTAGCTACTTTAAAGTGTTTTGCTATAATATTAAAACTTTTTTACTTAAATAAAATACAAAAAAAGACTGAAAGCAAGACTCAAGCAGTAACAACACCAAAAAAAAAAAGAAAAAAACGAGTAAAAAAATAAGAAAAATAAAATTTACACTTTGATGATAACAATAAATATTTTATATATATATGGGGGCATGTAAGCAACGTTTGTTTATATGAGATTAGATGCTTAGGAAATATGTAAAGGGAATGGTCACAGAAGACTTGCAAAAATCTTACTTTATAATAGCAACAACAACTATAATAAAACTAATCATCGCAAACAAATTTGGTAAGTGTGTATATGTACGTGATTATATATTTTACATGCATATTTGAAGAGAGGTAAGAGATTTATAATAATAATTTATTATTTATATTTGGCTTTTCATTTCTCTTGCTTCATCTTTGATTTTTTACTTATTTATTTATTTATTATTATTTTTTTTTACTTTGGTCTTATTAATGAATCTTTTAGTCAATTAATATTAAAGTTCAATGATCACTTGCGTCACGAGATATGAAGGTTTTTATTTCCTCTCGTCGAATAAGTCTCAACAGCTTATGGCCCTGAATTTCTTTATTGCATTTTTGCTTAATTATCAACTGCCTGCCTCTCGAGTTTATCATAAATAAATTATATTCATTATCTTTTTATTTCTTCATATATTGGGGTATTACCAATAAAGACAAGCAGCTTAAAGATTCATTTGTGTCAGAGTGCAGATGAAGGTTTCATAGCTAGACGGAATCGTCATATAATTTAGATCAAAATGAACCTTTTTTGTTGAAAACATACCTTCCTAAGTCAAATTAATCCTATGGATTGACTAAGAAGAGCGGGCAATTAAAAAAAAACTTTGCATTCGCTTTGGGCCGGAATATATTAACGCTGGTTATTGCATAATATTTGGCTCTAGGAAATAACAAAATGCTTACTTTCTCAGCAGAGACTGAACTTTTCATAGCTTTTTAATGAACTAATTAATATCAGTTTCCTCTTACGTTCTTGTGCCAACTGCTTATGGCAAGCATGGCAATGGTCATATTATAGTTTGGAATTCATTGGGCCAGCGGAATCAGAAAATTAGTGTTTGTGGACGTCATTGTAAGCAAAGAGGGTTATTTCAAGTAATTGAAAGAAAATTTAGATGAAACTGCAGACAACCCTGGTATCTTGGAAACAACAAATGCTACCAAGATAACGAATTCAGGCGTAAATCCCGCTTAATTCAAGAATGGCTTTTACATAACTGCCCCAAAGTGTGTTATTCTCTTCCAAAAATCATCAGGGATGAACCCCATGAAAAGTATGTAGGATGAATTGCACGGCCGTGGGCGAAAACACTCAATCCATTCCGTCTAACATCTGAAGAATACACCTTAAGAAGAATGGAGTAAGATCGCTGTTTCCTACACAAAAAAAATTAAGCAAAATATGTCAAAACGTTGAAATGACGATATAAAGCAAAAATGATACCTCTCCAAATATTAATTTTTAATAACATGCTATGCTGTCTATTTTTTCTTCGTATCCTTTCTTATATGAAAAAAATCCAATAGTAATAAAGTTATGTTTTTGAAGTTGCTGAAGTTATGTAATCCTCTTATCTAGTGGAATAATGTTTTGTTGTTTTTTGTTTTATATTTTAATATGTATTCCTTAGTAATATAAATAAGTAAAAACAAGTGTTCATGTTTGGACAATGAACTAGGTTTAACAAGCGTTTACTTTTTGTCGAGCGAAAAAAACACACTATTAATGAGAGTCACGGTCAGTAAATAATTTGACTAAGCGAAATTGTGTAGAGTATCTAACGGTCGAAGTTGTCCGGAAGTAAGTCCCATTTTGGCAAATAATTTTGTGTGAATAGTTTTTGTAAAGATGTAAATAAAATCGACGCTTTTCGCAATCCAATGATAATAACCTAATAAATCGGACCTCATCTTTCGGCATCGTTTCCTATCAACCCACTTCAATCCTTGATTACTCTTTGACAAGTGGGAAAAAGCGTTTTGGCTTCAGCTACAGGCATAATTTCCTACCAGCCCACATCAATCTAAGTGTCCGACAAGTGGAAATATAATTTCTGTTGATTCTAATCGAGAAACAATTCCTAATATATCTTATCACGACTTAATCTTTCTTAGCCTCCGTATTAAGGTAGTTTACATTGAGCGAGCGTAGATATAAATGCCATTGTTGGTCAACTTTCCTCAATCTTTCTTGAAACTCTTTTTGGAAGATCACGTCAAATTTAATTATTAAGATTCAACCACGGCGGGTTTTCAACCATAGGCGATTTCAATTTAGCATATCTTGTGGTAATCTTCAAATTCTATCATCTATTCTCATTAACGGGCTCTTTAAAGTCCATTAAAGCAATTTTGCTCAACAAGCGCGATTTACCTATGTCGTACTTAAACTGATTTAACCTTAGATTTTGTCATTATGAGTCGAAAATTAATTTGTTGTTAACAATTATCGGTTGCCAAGCTTATGCATGTTTGCGATGGCTTAAGGGTTCACTTGCAATTTGGTCCTGTATTGGTTGTGGGTGTGGCTCTATGCTAATTGTGTACATGCTTTTTTTTTTTCTTTTTTTTTCCTCCTTATTTGTTTTATTGTACTTATACTAAGTTTTATTATTAAATAATTTTAAGATTTACTTAAGAGTCAATTGAACTCTACTGCTATTTTGTTTTAGTTGAGTTTCTTGTATAAGTGGAATAAATAAATAAATAAATGCTCATTCACTTCATAACGTCCGCAATCATTGAAAAGTCATTCGTTGTAAGCTGCGCTCGTGGCTCGAACAACCTCCCACCCAATCTTAAACGTGTTAGCAGTGCCGTTATTCTCGTTCCGCAACGATTGATCACTTTGGATAATCTATAAGCGCATATTAGCAGTTGTCTCTGATTCATGATAGGTTGTGTTTGCGAGCGTTGTATAACAGTCTTATGTAGTCTTAGTTGTAGTCTAATAGTGAAAGTGCTCGTACATCGAAAACTGTCTAACTATGTGCGAAATTGGTTTTTGGTTTGCAACTTAGGAATTCTCAATTTTTCGAAAAGGAAGACTTCACCCCTATTTAATCAATTCTAGACGTTCTACTTCCTTAGCTGTCGGCAGAGGAGATGGGAATCGAACGCTTAGTCAGGGTCAAGCAGCTCACGATGTGCGATTTCCTTTCTATTCCATTAAACATAAATTATCATCCCATGGGATGTAAACTGCGTGATATCCACCTTGGACATTATAACCGTATCATTGCTTATTTATATAAAAATAGCCTTAGGCAAATGATTCAAAATGATTCAGTGAAGCAAACACACCCTTCTTAGTTTTTTCGGAAAATTAAAAATTTTTTGAATGTACACTGTTTCACACGACCCTGCGGAATTTAGAAAATTGAAAACCTCAAGCGAGTATATCGAAATTGGCTGGCCTAGAAATGATCCGGCTATATTTGTAATATATAATAAGTAAAGCGACAACCTCAGGGCGTGTTGCGTCATAAATTCTATCAAGTCGAACAATGGCGTGTTTGAACGCTCACAGGAGAGGGGTATTTTCGCAAAATGCTTACCAGTGGTTTGTCGAATAAATTGTAGTTCCATACCCGTAGCAGGGTCGTTCATAGGAGAAAGTGCCAATCTTTGCAAGTTATGTTGTACCCCGTTGTACCAATTTATTCTGCATTCTTGGTTATGAAAAATATGAATAAATTTACTTGAAAACTTTTACTTATTTAGATATAAGGAATTGTTGCTAATTACTATTCTCTTTCTTTTTTTTCATTACAGCGTTTTTCGATTCATCTCGTTTTATTTATTTTTTTTTTCTAAGATAATAAAATGAAATTTGCTGAACATTTGTCTGCTCACATCACGCCCGAATGGCGTAAGCAATATATTAATTATGAGGTAATGAATTTTTTTCTTTTTTCTTTTTTTTTTTTTTTTTTGTTGTTTGTAGCAATTTTTGTCTTAATATTTTCTTTTTTTTTTTATAAGGAAATGAAAGCCATGTTATACATGGCTGTTGAGGAAGCACCTTCGGTTGATAGCGTTGAAGATGAGGTCTTGAAGAGACATTTTGCCAATTTCGATGAGAATTTTTTTCATTATTGTGATAAAGAATTGAAGAAAATTAACACATTTTATTCGGAGAAACTTGCCGAAGCCACGCGTAAATTCGCCACTTTAAATGCGGAATTGAAGACATGTGTTGACGAGTCAGAGCGTTCCGCGAAAAAATCGAAATCATTAAAAAAATCAAGTTTGCCTCACCGCAAGGCCCAAGAGCTGAAATTGGCTTTTAGTGAATTCTACTTAAGTTTAATTTTACTGCAAAATTATCAGAATTTAAATCATACTGGTTTTCGTAAAATCTTAAAAAAACATGATAAGGTAAAGTATGCATATGTTTTTAGTTTTAATTAATAAATTTACATTGTCCAGTTTGAAATTATTTTTCAGCTTTTGCGGGTTGATACTGGTGCTAAGTGGCGTCAGGATTACGTGGAATCTTCGCACTTTTTTATTAACAAAGATATCGATAACTTGATAAATGAGACGGAGACCACGGTTACCAGTGAACTGGAGGGTGGCGATCGTCAGCGGGCAATGAAACGTCTACGTGTGCCACCTTTAGGCGAACAACAGAGCCCTTGGACCACTTTCAAAGTTGGCTTGTTTTCGGGCAGTTTTATTGTTCTGGGTATAGTGGTAGTGTTGTCCGGTAAGTGAAATATATTTTTAAAAAAGCATACCAAAAATATAATGTTTATATACAACAGTAACGCAAATGGAATATATATTATGTAAGGATAGATATGCTACTCTACAGATGTTATATAACATATGACGACTGAGTACTGCTCAGTTTGCTGGCATAATTACGTTATATTTACGGTCAGATGCACCATAAATGATAATATATAATGAAGGATGATCAACGTAATACCGATAACATCTATCTAAATTTTTGAAATTTGACTTGTTTATTGTTTAGTTCATGAATAGATTAGAGCGACTTTTGAGGAAAGTGAATGAAAGTGAATCTTTTGCTTTTCTCACAACAGCTTCAAAGTTTTAGTAATAAGCTCAGCCGATGGTCTTTAGCTCTTCTCTATTTAATGCCATGAAATTCTGCTTATTTTGACAATTTCGACAATAAGCATTTGAGCGGACGGACTTAATTCTTCTCACAGAGGATGAGATGAGTATTTCTGGGTAGTGCCAATGACATGACAAAATAAGTATATCGGCATTGTTAGGTAGCGGGTATAAAACCTATTCAATTTATTTTATTATATTATTTATTCGTTTACGTATTTTATTATATTTATTATCTTCTGAGAGATAATTAATTTTTCTCATACGTTTTTTGAACTCTTTAAAATGTAGCCATCTTTCACGATATAACCGGGGAGAATTTGAAGGTTACTTTTCGCTTATATCGCGGACCTCTTCTCGTGATCGAGTTCATTTTCTTAATCGGCGTTAACATTTATGGTTGGCGGTCTTCAGGCGTCAATCATGTTCTTATATTCGAATTGGATCCACGTAATCATTTATCTGAACAGCATCTCATGGAATTGGCCTCAATATTTGGAGTTATATGGACATTAAGTATGTTGAGTTTTTTGTATTCAACCAGCTTAAGTATACCAGCCTTTATTAATCCCCTGACTCTAACGATTATAATGGTGGCGTTTCTCATAAATCCCTTTCATGTGTTACATCACGACGCTAGATTTTGGCTATTAAGAATAACGGTTAGTTCTATTTAATAGGCAAACATTTGTAAGAAAACGTTTCAGTTTCACTTATACAAAATAGGGTCGCATGGTGGCAGCACCATTTTTTCATGTTGGTTTCGCTGATTTCTGGCTAGGCGATCAGTTGAACTCGTTGGCGACAGCTCTACTGGACTTTGAGTATTTGATGTGCTTCTATTTTACGAATGGCAATTGGTTTGAGGCTCGTGACGCTTCAGTTTGCATGGAAAAAGATTTCATAATACGTCCTATATTTAATTGCTTACCGGCCTGGTTTCGTTTTGCTCAGTGCTTAAGACGTTACCGTGACACTCGTGAAGCTTTCCCGCATTTGGTAAACGCTGGCAAATACTCAACTACATTTTTAGTAGTAATATTTGCCACATTAAAAAGCTACCATAGCCGTAAGTTATTGAATAGCATGTAAGCGAAGAATATTTGTTAATTAATTAATTTGTTTTCGATGCAGGTTATTATTCGAATAGCTTTGATAATCCATATACATGGCTATGGATTATAGCTTCGATAATATCTTCTTGTTATGCCTATACGTGGGACATAAAAATGGATTGGGGTCTCTTTGACAAGAATGCCGGCGAGAATACATTTCTAAGAGAAGAAATAGTTTACTCATCAACGGTGAGGTTTTTCTTATATCGAAAAAAATAGTTTTAACATTGATTTTTCAAAAAAAAAAAAAAATTGATGGTAGAGCTTCTACTATTTTGCTATTGTGGAAGATTTACTTTTACGTTTTAGTTGGGCTTTATCGTTCTACATAACCGAAATGAGAATTCTAAGCGGTGATATTACCACTTCAATTACTGGCACTTTGGAAGTATTCCGGTACGTAATCCTATCTTTCTTTTATGCATTAATTAATTGTTTTAAACAAATATGTATCTTTTAAAAGGCGTTTCGTATGGAATTTTTTCCGTTTGGAAAATGAACACTTAAATAATTGCGGTAAATTTCGTGCTGTGCGTGACATATCGATAGCACCCATTGACTCTTCGGATCAAACTTTAATATTGCGCATGATGGACGAACCGGATGGTGTACTTAATCGTTATACAAAAACTAATCGTCCAAAACCGAAGAAAACAAAAGATCCAGAAAAACGTAGCCTTTTACCCGCACGCGGTTCCTTACAAGATCTTACCATTGATATTGATGGCTCGAAGAAATTGTAAACTTAATCTAATCTACTTACTTTATAGGGTTAAGCTAAACACATTTTTTTAAATGCCATGTTTTATAGATATATATATATATTTTTTTTTTTTTTTTTTTTTTTTTTTTTTTTAGTAACTTAAGTACTTTACAAATTTTGCGAAACATTTATTTGTTATTTGTTTTACCTCATCATAGGGCATGTACTTTATTTTCATTGGCAGTATTACTTATCTTCGCGCCATAATATTTATTTATTTATGTTTTTTTTGTTTATATTATTTGTTTAATTTTTATTTTGTTCATTTCTTGAATTGTCTCATATACTTCTACATTCCCACAAAAGTTTATCACATATGTCAAACAAAGTAAATAAACAGAACAATTGATCAAATCAATTTTGATCTTCAATTGAGGCGAACATCGAATAGTATATGTGCACTCACTCTATAACAAGAAGTAATCGCTTGATCACCTCGTCTTTAATCAGAAGAGCATTGCACTTTTTTTAAAGTATACGAAAGCCAGGACAATCTTCTTAATGCTCATAGCAATGCTCAAGTCAAGGGAGTTACTCGCTTCGTTAAGAGAGCGAATCCTTCTTTCTTGATTCACATTTTTTCGTTTACAATTTTTTGCGCAACATTGTCACTCTGTATGTTTGTATTTATGTTGGAAATTGCTTATCTGCTTTTTTTCTTTTTTTTGTATTTATGTGTTGAAATAAATTTCTCTTTTAATCAGCCAAAGCTTGCTAATTTCTGCCGGCTATTGGCCTTGAATTGCTGATCATTGTGTTAAACATTCAATGCCATCATCAAGCAAACACGAGAGGAGTGCTTCATCAAGATCACTCCAAAGCAGGGGTTATTATGTTTGAACACATATTGTGTTTGAACACGCGTTGAATTTATAATTCGCCTATCGATGGTCTGTACGATGGAATGCAATTACTGCCGAACGGCGTCATGGGCGTTGCTTCTTCCTGGTGACATTTGGCAAAGATTTTCTACTCACACACAGCTTGTAATAGAATTAAACATGTCGAGTTTTGAGCTAAAAAGAAAAAGGCATCCACCGACAGCATTGTTTTTTTTTGGCAAACAATACAAAACTAAATCGAGTTTGCATCGTAAGAAATCATGGATAGATACAGGCTTGCCATCCACATTTATCGCAAGACCTTAAAACCACGTATGGCCTTCACATTTTAAAGGCTTTAGTCTATAAAACTTTACATTCTACAAAAAAAAAAAAAAAAAACAAAAAAAAAAGGTTTATAATTTTTAGTGCGCATAAAATTTAATTCGTAATTCTTTATTTATTTTATTTTTATCTCAGTTTTCGTAAGACAAAAATACAAACGAAAAAATAATGAAATTTGGTAAAACGCTTTCTGCCCATTTAACACCTGAATGGCGCCAGCAATATATATGTTACCAGGTAAGATCGCATTTAATCATCATTAATAATGCACTTTCCGGTTTTCGTTTGTCGCTTAAGGATCTTAAAGATATTATTTTACGCGCCGCTGAACTGAGATCGACAAAGCCTGCGCAATTCATTTCAAAAACAGACCCGTTCTTTCTAAATTTCGAAATCGATTTCCTTTTCGAATGCGAGAAGGAATTGAGAAAAATCAATACATTCTTTGCGGAAAAATTAGCCGAAGCTACGCGCCGCTACGAGCAACTGGTAACATTATTAGATGCTGTTTATGGTAATTCCCGCTTGGGCGGTATTTCGTCTTCCCGCTTAGGCCTGATGCGAACTCGTGTGATTGCTGATATGAAAGAAAGAGGCAATAAAACGAAATTGAGTAAATTGAGAATGGCGTTTAGTGAATTGTATTTGCATTTAGTGCTATTGCAAAATTATCAACATCTAAATTATACGGGTTTCCGGAAAATACTTAAGAAGTACGATAAGGTCGATAGTCTGACTTGTTAACTTGGATAGTTTTTTTTTAATTATTAAATTTTATTTAATTTGTAGTTACTTGGCGATCTTAAGGGCAAGGAATGGTTCTTAAAAAATGTTGAAACGGCCACATTTCACACAGATCGTAATTTAGATAATTTGATATCCGATGTTGAAGACAATGTTACCAAATATCTGGCAGACGGTAATCGCGCTGAAGCAATGAAACATTTGCGAGTGCCACCATTGGATGAAGTTCAATCTAATTGGACGGTTTTTCGTTTTGGCCTCTTCGCTGGCGCCTTTATCGTTCTATCGATTATCATTTGCATAGCAGGTACGGCCCATAAAAACCACATTTTGTCTTTGTCAAAACTTATCTTAAAACGTTTGTAGATTTTCAAGGCATGGTTGAAGTCCAACATTTAGTATTGTTTCGCGGTCCGTTTTACGTTGTTGTATACCTTCTTTTGATGGGCATAAATGTGTATGGTTGGCGACGTGTCGGCGTTAATCATATATTAATATTTGAAATTGATCCGCGTAAACATTTAACGTACTCTCACCTCTTAGAATTGTCGGCAATATTTGCCGTCCTAACAGCTTTAAGTGTTTTAGGTTTTATATACGCGAAAAATTTGCATATCCCGCGTTTTTCCTTTCCATTGATTTTATTGATTACCATGGCATTGTATTTAATTTTACCTTTGCCCATATTTCATTTGGATAGCAGACTCTGGCTGTTGAAGGTAATGGTAAGTTCTGTTATTGTTTGCATTTTGCTCCGTCATTTGCTTTCATTTTTCTGTATTCAATATGCAAGAGCATCGTATGAAGATTCTATAAAGTGTAATTAATTTTGATCCCAGCTTGAGATTTTGTCTTTTTTTTAAGTAGCAAATCTTGAAGCAAAATCTTGATAGATGCTTGTAGAATTGCAAATTTCCAAAATAGGCGTGCAACGTCCACAAAAAACAAATTAAGTATTCAAAAATTTGAATACAATTTTGTCGATTGTTCTTATGCTATGTGCGGCATAACATTGCGAATTTGCTGTATCTAGTCAATTAGAAAGCCCAGCTTAGCTTTAATCATTCGTTAGTGATGTTTTCAATTTTCTATTAAATTTTGTTTTAAGAATAATTTCAATAGGCCGTGTTCAAGCTTCGGGTGAGTTTGAACAAACGCGAACTATATATATATGTATGTACTGATTACCTAATTTTGGTCATCCGACATTGATGATTAAGAAACTCTGCTTTTTCGCCCAGCATTTATAGATTACAGGATTTATCAATTCCAAATGAACGAATTAACGAATATATTTAATTACGAGTAGAGTATGGTCACACGGCTATGTCCTATGTTAGCCGTTCGAGACAAGAAGGCCAAATTCATTATTTCATTATCGCATTAGCTGAAGTTAAACGTTCTAACCATGAGTAAATTTAATGATTACAAAAAAAAAAAAGCCCTTTTCTCACCTAATCTTGTTAAGGAGGCAAATGTACGCGTTTATGAGATTCAACTTTTGGACTGTAAGGGTTGGCGTGTGGGTAAAAGATTACATTCCAAGTTAAGTTAATTGGGATATGCAAATGAGTGAACATTCAGCAAAGATGATTTTGACATATTTAAAGTTCTTTCGATTCGTCTTGGGCTACAAACAATATACGCTCTTCGACAACCAGGTAAATTATCAAAGGCTAAATTTTAAAAACAGTTTTGTTCGCAATGCAAAAATCCTGAAGTATTGACATGCATGGTAAATTCTGTCGTCCGTTAAAAAGCCACGCGAAACTGTTTAGGGAAAGTTGGTCGCGAAAAGATACTCATTGCCGTATATTGTTAACACTTTATCTTACATTATAGAATGCATTCAATTGAATTTCTGTTTGCCAAAAAATAATGAAAAATCAGTTACATATCTCTTATGGGGAACACATTGCTCTTCCCATAGACGACTAAGCGCTTATTAACGCTAATAAGGTATTTATTGTGCAGTTGGCGGGATTTGAAGTACACGACATATCACGAACTGTTATTGTTATCGTCAAGCAGAGGAGGTACAAAGCTTCAAACAACTGCTGTTAACAATTGAAGAAAAACTTCTTAGCAATCCAACAAATATATAGTATATCGAGCTGACGTCAGATTGCAAACATCTCTATACTAATCTGCTAGAAATTAAAAAAATTTACTGTACAGTGCAAGATAAGGGCCTCTTAGCACCCATTTTTAATCACAAATCAAAGAAATTTTATCGCAACGGAGTGAGTTATGGCGCAATCGGCAGAACATAAACAAGCCCAACGACACAAATGTGTGTGTGTTTTTGACAATCTGTTTTTCAGATTACAATAAAAATATTGTTAACTATGGTTGCGAAAAAGTCCATTTGCCAATCAGTTCATAGTTCAACTATATATGCCAGCTAGACGGTAGGGACATCTTATGCAAATTTATCCGGATTTGCATCCGGAATTAGGATGCATTAAACATGCTTGCAGCAATTATATATCAAAGTCTTTTACGTCAATGAACGAACAAAAATGCGCGTAAAATTTTTTTTATTTCCTTTAAAAAGTTCCATATATAGGCCACAAATGCGGTTTGTTTTGCACAACCTATAAGTAATGCTAGATAGTCATATTATGAAGGCTACAATATGCGAAGAATGGGCGGAGAATTCCAGCACCAAGTAACAAGAACGATAACACTCGAGATCTGCGGATCAAAAATATTTATACCTTATATGCAATCTCTGATGGCACGAACTTATGAATGGAATGACAAACTGACGTCTGCTTACTGTTAAATGACAATTAAAAGAATTCTACGTCTATTTGGTTCAAGCTTGTGTCTAAAAATAGTATCTTGTTAGGGTCGCTTAATGGCTGCCCCTTTTTTTTCTGTCAGTTTTGCAGATTTCTGGCTGGGCGATCAGTTCAATTCAATGACTATTGTCTTCGCGGACTTTAAGAATTTGTTATGCTTCTATGTTCGAAATCCATTCTTCAGTGAAAATTATAAGCATCAAAAATGTGAAGTCGAGGATTTTGCCATAAATGCTTGTGTTTCGTGTTTGCCAGCTTGGCTGCGTTTCGCTCAATGCTTGCGGCAATATCGAGATAATCGAAAATCTCATCCATATTTAACAAATGCCGGAAAATATGCCACCGTATTCCCAACGATTTTATTCGCCACATTGATGAACGCGTACAGAGGTTTGAGACACGACAAACCAATGTAGGATAATTGCAATTTTCATATTTCTCTCCGTTTCAATTCGTTTTGTTTAGATGAATATGAGACATTTTTCAAAAATCCTTTTCTTTGGTGTTTCATTTGCTTTAAAATGATATCAACGATTTATGGTCTCGCTTGGGATATTTTGGGAGATTTCGGTTTATTTAAGGTATGCAAGAAAGACAGAATATTTTTAAGAGAGGATGTCATCTATTCGAAGGTATGTGGAGAATATTCACCCTATCTATGAACGCTTCCTTGATTGCATTTGCCATTTTTAGAATTTTTACTATTTCTTGATAATCGAGAATTGTGTGTTGAGATTCTTTTGGATTTTCGATTTCCCTATGGTCGCACTAAGCTATGTGAACTTTCGAATAATGGAATCAATTTCGGGTTTGCTTGAAATTATACGGTATGAGAGGCTTTCATCTACATATATATATACAATCTATGTTGCACTCGTTTGCGTAACTTTTTGTCAGTCTTTGCAAAATATATTACAGTCGTTATATTTGGAATTATGTGCGGCTGGAAAACGAACATCTATACAATGTAGGCCAATATCGTGCCGTTCGTGATATTTTCATTGCCCCCCTAGAGGATTTTGACGAATTGGAAGATAAAACGAGTGAAAACAATAATTTCCATTGAAACGTCTCTACACGTCGAGATAAAACAACGCAAATATTTATTTAATTATCAATATTTTCGTTTAAAAAAAATAAAAAAAACGAAAAATGTAATTACGAAATGTTCTCAGTTACACCGGATACCAGGGCGGTTCCACGTAAAATCCAAAAGTCTGGTGGAAGTGAACTAGGCAATAGGATGGCTAATATGAAATTTGTCGAATGGCCAGTAGTGGAGAGTACTCCCGACCTTGCCTGTGTTTTGTATAACGGAGCTTCGTAGCGTTCGCCGGGCTCCATTTTTAAACATGGTATAAAGCGTATCGCAGGTAATCGTGAATACAGTTCACCAATTTCGGCATCACACAAACCGCCTTCCTCCCTATTCCAACGAGCCGCTTCCACAAATATACCGTGACAATTTACACCATTCTCCGTAGAAGGTGGCATTTTCCCATACAGTTCGTCCACCTAAGCAAAAGCCAAAGTTACATTGACTTATTTATATCGATTACTAAAAACTTACTGCTTTCAGACTTGAACGCCTCTCAAAAAATTCTTGCTGAATAAGTGTAATGTCCAAGACTTTGAAATCAATTTTCAATGCGTCTATAGGCAAAACCTTTTTACGTGCATGGGTTTGAAGTACGCCCGTAAGGAATGATTGTGGAAAATAAAAACCACTAATCCAGTAACTGCGTGGATTGCCGTTAATAGCCCAATTCTGAATGAATTCTATGCGTCTTTGAAAGTCAGCAATGTAACTCGGCAAGGGTTTGATGGAGAGAAAGCTCTTTTTCTCCCAAAGACGGGGCACCAAATTAGCTAATAAAGCGTTGAAGACACCTTCGAGCTCATCAGACATTACTACCAAACCTTTGATGGCTTTACCCAAATTAACTAAGCTTTCATGCAAATTTTTTAAGGATATATTATAACGGTCGACTTCCTGTACCAGCACCGTTGTTAGCGACGGCAAAGCACCGTTGCTACTAACCTATAAAATACGTTTTCACTCGGACAATTAAAATAAATTAAAAAAATTTAAAAGTTTTTTATAATTCATACCACTGTCAAAGACGAATGCAAGGTTTCTCTGTCTATCTTTTTGGCAAGGGTCTCCTGAATTCTTTTTATTATTTCTAAGCACAATTCGTTTTCTTGGGCTTGGCCCTCTTCGGCCGCTGAACGTGGTTGACCGACCAGTAAAGTGCTTATAAAAAAGTTGGTTTCTTTTGTTTGGAATACCAAGTTAGCGTTCTCGTTCATCCCGAAAATCTCGGGATCTTCGAGTGGTGGAAAATGTTGTACGTATTCCTTGTATTCTTGTATGGTGTTCTTTCGAGGATCCCTATAATAGGGATCACCGCGACAGTATCTGTAATTTGGATCCAAAATGTGATCGAAAGTGTAAACTTTTAAGATAGTACGTAAGCAACGTAAATCCCAATAGTCCGTGACACGACCACCCCAAGTAATCTCTCCGTTTATATAATAAATAGCTTCCCAAGGCACTTTATCGCGAATCTCGCGACTAATAAAAAATTCTAGAGTCTTAAGACCACAGTCACGATCGCTTTCGTTAAATTCATATGTTATATTCCAGCCGAGAGGTCCGAACTTTTTCCGTTCCAGTAGAACGGCATGGAAGACACATAGACCGAAGACTATAGCTCTCCAATGTCCTTCTAAAATGTGCGCTTCGAAGAAATCTGTATTTATGTCAGCTAACGCACCTAGGACATTAGCTCTGATGCCTTTAGGTGGTTCGTTTGTAACTTTGACCGAATTTTGCAAAACGCTAATGGGGAAAGTCTTCTGCGGCATAGATGACAGGAACAAACGAAAGTTCTCATGTGCCTTGGTTATACCCAGCGTTATGTTACGTACAATAGTTTCCATTTGACTCATCCAAGACGTGGCCAAATGGCAATTTTGTAAAAATACCCAATGTCCTAGGCGTAAGCTTTTCTCTATCAAACTCTCAGCGATTGGACCTTGACCTTGGCCCAGTGATATTGAATAAAATTTATCCATATATTTCATTTCGTCGGCAAAACGTAAAAAGTTCGCCATAGGATCGGAGCCAGTTGATAAGACAAAAACCAAGGGCGTAAGATTGGAAGTATCAAGAAATCTATGAATTTTTAAAAATTTAGACCGCAAATCTTTCGCTGATTACTTTCAAATACTTACACCACTTTTAACTGACTTCCTTCGGCAGATGCTTCAGTAAAGTAAGATCCTATTGTGACTCTTAGATATACTACGACATTAAACAAGAAACGTTCTTGTCTGAAAATTTTGATAAATATAAGCTTCTGGAAATCAGTTAAACGAGTACTCCAAACATTGCTTGGCTCCGCCTTTGATTTCGAAAAATTAAACTCTTCTTTATTATTACCGATAGCTAAAAAGAAAGGCTTATGTATTGTATCAGTGAAATTCTTGAAAGTAGGAAAATTTTCTTCGAAATATCTGCAAGCCTCCCATTTACCCTCAGTCATTTTGACATTAGGAGGTAATGGCTTCTCCTTAACGGAGCCCACTACGCCGCGAGTTAGAAAGTTAAACTCAAGTAGCGTTACACGTTGTTCTTGCTTTTCTATTGCTAAAGCCAAAAGGAAACTATAAATAATTTTATGATTTTCGAATAAGCCACGTGAAACATTATCATAGATTGCTTTCAATTCAGCGAGTTTCAATTGAGCAATGCGTACATCGGTGGTCATTGTGGGATGTTCTAATCGTATTACAGCGCAAAAGACTTGCGAGAAATATTTCAAACTGTACTGATACATGGGATCAATATCCGCTAAACTAGCTACAACAAAATATAAGATAGCTCCTCTGGACGCCAAAGTACGGTAGTTTTCACGAGTGGCTGTAATCACTTTTTCCGTTTCTTCGGTATCTAAGAGCCGAGTGGCAATAATCAACGAAGTTTCCTTAAGAAATTTTAAATTAACTGTTAATTCAACTGGCTTGGAAATTCAAAAATATTCAAATACCTTAGCATCATTGAGTGTTTCCACCAATTCCTCATCATCTAATATATTACCTTGGGAATTGAATAACAGTTTTAAAACTTTATCTTCCAAAGCTAGCAGCTGTTGCTTGTCAGTATTGATTTTGACTATAAGATCATTACGTTGCACTTCCAAAGCGGGCAGTTCAATAGCCACAATATCCCTAAAACGTAGTGAAAAAATGGGAGTACTTATCCTAGGTAAGGTGGAAAGTCCACTTTGCACTTACGCTAATAATTGATCTTCTAAGCCACCTTCCGTTACCAAAAAGTTTACTAATGTTACATTAATGCAAATTTCCGGCAGATAGTGAGGGTTGGCCAATTTCGTCGTCATATATAATTTAAATCTATCATCGTAGTCGATAACTTGATCACCTAATTTTAAATAGGTTCGACCCTCAAACACGTAAGTTTCGCGTTGCAAAACAGGCCTTATCGAAGGATCAATTGTTTCACTTATATCTTCTAAAAGTATGGGATACCCTTGGCGTACACAGTTTTCCACAGTTCTCAGTAAATTGCCATCGGTCATTTTTAAAACATTTAAATTGTTCGCCTTCTCCATATTACGTATCCAGCGATTCGCTTGTTCTTGCGGGTCAATCATTAGAGGCCAACGTAACGCCCGAGTCGCGTAAATACCGTTTTCTACGGATATATCATCCTTAGGTAAACCATCCATGGTCCATTGTCTTATTTCGTAGGCGTCACCCAATACCTTGACTAAATGAAATTCTCCGCTAGAAGGAATATTTTGTTCTCGACATTTGACAACCCATTGCGCACATAATTCATTACGGTATTCGGTGGAAAAGGCGCCTAAATACGCTACACAGGCAGCTGAGACTAGAACATCACCTGGCACGCAAGCCAATTCGTTAGTTAATACCTTTAAGGAAAAACATTTTTTTTATTTTCATATTTACGATTACGTGACGTTACAATTCTTTACGCGTAACAATGTTGAATAAATCCTTAACTAACTGACCCCTTAGAAAAAAGAGAACCATTACATTTATCTCTTCACATATGTTCTCAGTTTATTAATTTTTTTTTGTTTTTTTTTTTTTGCTTTTATGTGATACACACATTCAAGTAACGTCTATTAATAAGATATATAGTGTAGCGGAGTGGAATTTGAGAATTTCTTCATAGAAGTACTGTCATAGCCCATTATTATAGAAGAGTTTACTTTGTTATTACGTCGTTTAGGTGCCGTTCAAAATACACAAAAAAAAAAAAAATTGTGCATTAATTTTAAATGTGAAAAATGGAGTTCTGGCATTTGTTGATCGTTTTGTCGGTTATAATGCCTACTAATGTCCTGTCAATTTCGAGTAATGAATTACTCGAGCTTAGCTGTAACGACGACATGCAATGCAAGCAATTTCAGCAAGATGGCATAAAACCCAAATGCATGGACGGACATTGCCAATGCATTAACAGTGCAGGCGAAAATGTAAAATGCAAGCCAATGAATAACAAACTAAGCAATATTATTGGCGGTAATTGTCCTTGTAATCAACCGAATGCTGAATGCTATCAGAATCGGTGTTATTGTGTAATTGATTCCATACCCAGCAGTGATAAGAGACGTTGCTTGAAAAGAACAGCCGTTTTAGGTGATCCGTGTGAATTAGATGTGCAATGTCAAAAGGGCGACTATAATGCAATATGTCCGTCTACCTTGGGCCGATGCTCTTGCATGGAACAATTTGCTAATCATGACCAGCAGTGCTTGTCCAAGGTCAGTGACAAATTCAAATGCACAAGCACTGCTCAATGCCTCAAGGAATTCGGTAGTAATTCCCAATGCGATTCAGTCATTCAGCGTTGCCTTTGTTCCGATGGTTTTGTTACTGCTCTCAACAATTCCACGTGTCTAACTGTTAGCAAATATCTTGCTGATTGTGAGGAAACTTCGCAATGTATAAACACTATGGGTCCAGGCGCTAAATGCGTTGATCGCACTTGTCAGTGTGATGTTAATTATTTTCCTCAGGCAATCAATAGTACAAAAACCGGTACACCAAAGACTGTATGCACACGTGAAGCTGAACTTGGCCAATATTGTCGTGTGAACAAAGACTGTAACGATAGTGAACAAACGATGGACTGTGTTTATGGCGAATGTTGCTGCAAGTTTGGGTTTTATTCCATTAATGATGCCATTTGCATGCGTAGTGATTCCATATCCAAATTTTCTCAATCTACTACATTCTTACATATCGTATTTTTTGTATCTTTTATACGTTTTTTGAATTAAAGTTAATAAATGAAAATTAAAAGAAGAAAGAAAAAGCGTTTACCTTTACAGTTTCTTTCCAACGCACTTCTTCATCGGAGAGGGCAGATGTTAGGCGACCGGCTCGATTTATTCGACCATACGTTAAGTCGACATTGTCCTGAACGGCTTTAAATTCTCTTCTTTTCAAGTCAAGATTATCTTTCAAACCTTGAATTTTCGCCTCAACTGCAGCCAATTCTTTTTGTTTCGCCTTCAGGATAGTCATGACCTCCTTCAGCTCGGACTCGGCAATTTCTTTGCGTCGTATTTTCGGTTCAACCACTTTATAAACTTTAGAAAATTTGTCCATAGCAATAACCCATAAACTGACCGATTTGGCAACCTTTGAAACTTTCTCAAATTTCTGCAAACTAAAAAATTAATATCCGCTACATTGAATTTGTTAAAATATTTACCGCAGGCACAAAATCCTTATGGTCAATATATTTCTTAACTTTTTGTAAAACGGTATCTGGTATATGCTCTTTATCGTATTCGAATAAACGTTTAATAAAATTTACATCGGCCATTATAGCCTTAGCCGAAGCCCAGCTAGGTCTGTGTTGGAAAAAGGAATTCAAGTTGTAACAATGCAAACAATGAAATATTGATTTACTTGGCTCCTAATAGTATGCAGACTGCTTCCATACAGAACTGTACTAGCGCTGGCGGTGTGGTGAACGATTTCAGCTCATTAATGTCTGCCTTTGATAAACCTTTTAAAGCATCTTCAGCATCTCTTAAAGCAGGCATAGCGATTTCTAGATCCTTATTCGCCTCGTCGGACATAGCCTTGCAACTTTCCGCCTTTTCTTTAGCAGCGACCTCATCCCTTAATACCGCTTCTTTAACTTGATCAGCCTGTTTAGACTCAACCGCCAGCTTCTCTAATAATTGTTTCATAGTAGCTGACTTCTCATCAAGTTCTGGTACCATAATTTCTAATTCTCTTTGCATGACTGCAATCTGTAAATTGAAAAGAAAAAAAAAAAATGCTGATCGTGTTTTAAAGTTTAGTTTTAGTTGATAAAAATTTTGGATAAAATGTTAATGGCATGTCCGTGAACGCGAAATTTCGTGCTGATCGTTCAAAACTCAAGTCAAATTATCTATGGGTAGCACTTACGATATCGTTCGTCTCCAATATCTTATTTAAGCCGTTAGTAATCCTTTTACGCTTATTAATTATCTCTTGGGTTTTCACATTCAAGAGATTTTGATAAAGTTTAAGCAATTCCAAATAACTGCTAGGCGTAGTGTAATAGTGGCGTTTCATTTCCTTATAAAACTTGACGGAGGCGTCTTCAACTGTCTGCAGAGTATAAATTTCATTTGTAATGAAACAAAAAAATGTGATGTAATTAATACCTTATGCATAAAGACTGTAGTTGTGGCTAAAGCTTCGCATTCTTCTCTATTTTTCGTAATGACGGCTAATAAACCTAACGCTACCGAGTACAATGCCTCAGTTGGCCAATTTGAGAACCAATCAATTGTGGTACAATTAACTAGAGAAGGAAACATACGACACCTTCGTCGAAAAGAGTCACCCACCGGTGACATAGACAAAACCACATGTAAATTATTCCGCACTCTGTTTATAAAGAACTTATAGATGCCATCTCGAGTGCAGCCCTTTAAGAAAATATGAATTAATTAAGTGTATTTTCGTATTGAATCGCATCGTCTTGATGCGAGCACTGGCTTACTTCTTTCTGGACTGTATTGCAATCCTCACGGGCATCAATTATAATTTTTTCGTATTCATCGCCCTCAAATAGATTGGGCACTTCTCCGGAATTCAAAATATTATTAATATCTTCCAAAAATTCTTCTTCCACAATTTGTGTATCGATCATTAAAAATGTTACTGGTTGGTTGTCAATCTACAGAAAAGCAAAAGAAGAAGCATATATATAAAATAGTTACTTATTGGCACGGATTAGGGAATCTTCTGCTTACTCCAGCTTGTCGGTATATAATCCGTAGATCTTCATGAAAGCCATTAATGTCATAATTACGTTTTAATTCAATTTGCATGCATTTGTATTCATTAACGTGAGCTGCCAGCTTAGTTAAAGATTGTTTACCCATACCAGCTACGCCTACTAATAGACCATTGCCACGATCACTGCGCAGTAAACGAGCTAGCCGAACAGAATGCTCTAATGCATCTTGGAATAATATTAAATTCATTCGTTTGCCTGTCATTGAATTAAAATCTTCTATATAATCCATTAGTATACTTTCTAACTTTTTGTGATCTTTGATCTCTTCGTAAATGCGGTCGGCACGAGGCTTGCCGAATACCATAAAATCGCCAAAGAGTATTGGGGGCTCATCGCGTTTGCAGACCTCCTTTTTGAAATGCGTAAGACAGACATCGTACATCAGATCAACGAAAAGTTGTTTATCTTCGTCGTTAATTAAGCGATCGTGAAAGACTCGAGTAGTTTCATGATAGAATAAACGCAATATCTGAATTTCCATATTGTAGTATATGTTATTGGCCTGCAGAATTCCCTGTATGCATTTAGAAAGATCTCTTAGATTGAATATGTAGTGCGATTTATTCGGTGTGGGCAGCATTTCCTTTGCGATGCGCATATAAACATCAACACACGCATTCACTATAGATATTGAGAGAGGACGAATTGCCGAAGAAAAGTCACTAAGGAAACTGCAAAAATTAAGAGAGAAGACGAGACTATACTTTTTTCAAAGCCACTACTATTGGGAACAGTTTTTTTTACCCAGTAAGAATACCATCGAAAATTTGTGTTAAAGTTTCATCATTCGGTTTCGGTAGCGCTAGGAGAGAAAAATGACGTACGAAACGTGGGGTTAGAGGATTTCTACCTCCACCAGGAGGAGCGCAAGCACAGCCTAAAACTACATCGACGATTTCTTTCCAGAAAAGTTTTTCTCGGTCATAGAAACCTCCGAAGTCTAGAATTTGTCTAATTAAGGGGAAAAAAAAAAAAAAAAAAAAAAAAAAAAAACGAAAGAAAGAAAATCAATAAATTCACTTAACCAATTCCTTTGATTAATATTTCACCTTAAGAGCTCTATCGCCGGTTGGCTGCCGTAGGTGTCTAGTTTTGGCATATTAACATCGTCAATGAAAACTATTACCGTTTTTCCGATCGGGGCACCCAAGAGATTACGTTTACGCTTATCTAAGGGACTCTCGATCATTTCTTGAGTCCTGTTACTACTCGTTTGAGCTGAGAAATTAATTTGTATCGGTATAACGGTGCCTTGAGCAAGCTTTTTAAGTGTCGATACAGCCAGTACTGATTTGCCTACGCCTGTGTCGCCAGTAAACATGACTGGAAAATTTCGTGAGAATAGCAATTCGGTAATGTAACTGGAAATGTGGGAATAGTCATAGTTGAATGAATGGACTGCGCAAAACGAGATGATGTTTACCCATATTTAGTCGTGTCCACGGTTGGTACTTGCATATCGAAGTATTTGTCTTCGGGATTAAAATTAAAAGTGTCTATAATATTGGACCATGACTCCCATTTCATTGTCTCCATATTTACTCGATAATCCCATAATGTACCCGTTTGAGGAAATCTACAATTACGAAAATTATATTGGAAACTTTGGGAAGCGCGATTTATATACTGATTTTAACTTACGAAATATGCTTTCCTTCGCTCAACATGTATTTTTTTAATAATGCCTCATATTTAACTTTTTCTTCATCTCGGAAATTTGAACATAGCGACCACAATACTACCCACACAAACATTTTAGTTAAGAGAGATTTATAATTTTCTTCGGGCACGTCGTACCAACGTTTTTGCTCAATGAGGCTTGCCATAAGCTCCAGGCATAAAAATACCTTGGAACTGGTTACTTGATGTATTACGAAAGAGCCATGTTTTAGAGCTAATCGAAGAAATGTTTGGAAATGCGTGGTAAACAGTTCGTTTAAATATGCCAGCTGGTGGGATTGAATTTTCTTTTGAATTCCGCTTATCATCCAGGTGTCAAGCAACGGTAGCCAACCAAGGTCGTCCGGATCAATGTAAACCATACCGCAACGCGACACGGTAGCCGGGGATGCTTGTAATAAATCTTGGACTTCGAACACCATATGTACCCAGGGGGTAAGTTTAATACGTTCCGAATTAGCAAGGCAAAGCATTTTATTGTCATCCAGGACTGTATTTAAATTTTCAATCCAGACAGCATCCACTGGTCCATCGTTAACAATCCACTGGTGGATTTCATCTATTCAATGGAAAATTCGGCAATTACTTTAGCAGCTTTTGTCTTTTTTTTTTTTTGCTACTTACCTTCTACATTTACTGCAGTACGCACAGCTAAGCCTAGTAAACCGTCTTGCCATTCAAAGGTCTTCGGATCCACAAAGCCGTACAATTCGTTCATAGATACGGCTTTCGGATTCATGCATTGTATGGTGACCGGCCGATAATTGGGACCTTTAACACCTTCGTCATACAATTGGTTCAAAGCAAATTCCAATGCGTGCAAAACTACAGATTTTCCACCGCCCGTCGGACCTACCAACATGACACCCCACCGTACACACATTGTTTCGTATAATTGTATACACTTGTGCATGGTAGCATAAACGGGTTGTAAATTTTTCATTTGTAAACCTAATGCAACTGCTCGCTCCAAATCCGGATAGGACGAGATTGGCAATTCTACACCTGGGAATAAATCGCCCAGAATACCCAAAAATAAAGTAGCGTCATCGGCTAAAAATTTCGGTATATTTGAATCTCTGAGTGCAGCAATTAAGGTAATGTCTTCTCTTTGATCGGGTGCGGCACGCTTTAGTGCACCAGCCATTACCAGCACAGATTTTACAGCTCGCATACCAAAATCATAATGGTTCTGCTGGCTAAGCTGTTCGCTGCACAATTTATACATTTGCACCATCTTATGGGCGAGGCTTTTGGGATCTTCGAAACCCTCCGAATACAAAATAACTTCAGCAATTAACGCATAATCAGGCACCATCATGGATATGGGACGGAAAAGAGCTTTCAAGTTATCCGGTAATTCGGTACGTCCAGCATAGCCCGGATTCATGGTAATAAAAACTGCACAAGACTTAACCAGTTTTATCTCACGACCTTCGAATATAAACCTAATTAAAACAAAAAGTCTATGTCAGTGAAAAGATACGTTAAGGACGACGTATAGAACAAGATCACCTCTTGGAATTAATAACTTTAGCGTTACGTATGGTTATCAGTTGCTGCGCTATTACGGATAGTACCTCAATATCTATGCGATTGAATTCATCAAAACAGCACCATGCACCGCATTGGGCTAAACCGGAGAAGAAACGACCCATCATTTTATAGTCTAAACCGTCCGAACAATTAAAGACAACGCATTGTTTGGCTACAGATTTTGCCAAATCTTTCGTTGTCTCAGTCTTGCCAGTGCCGGCCGGTCCAGCTGGTGCCCCACCCAAGTCCATTTGTATAGCACCCATCAAACAAAGATAACAACGATCGGTTAATGGAGTTAATACCAATACTCCTCCGGCGCCCAGATATTCATAGTAATAAGGAATATTCGCTGAGGCCATACGTGTGTATACAGTATCTGTTTCAAGGGACCAATAGAAACGTAACATCTTCAGCCAATTAAAATCGTTTCTGAAAAAGAAAAAAAAAGCAAAAGAAAAAGCAAAATAGAGATAAAAATAATTAAATAGATAGAGATAGAGAGGACTTACGATTTGAAGACCTCTTTGGTTATGAGCAAATTCACCGAGTCTTTCGCATGCACATCTATGGTAATTAAAGCTGTTAAAACTTTACGAACCAAACTGGTTATATCCTTCCGCGTAAGAGCAGCTAGTGCTGCTAGATTTTTTAGACATTTCTTTTCGAATTCCTTCATTTTCTCCAATACTGTTTTGGTAGACCATTTCTGATTGTCTAGAACGTAATGAATATCCGCAGCCCATTGTTGCTGCGATACAGTTAAGGCAACTTGATTGGGATGATCTTGAAACCAAACATCCCTATCTTTATTGGGATAGCATTGATAGCCGAAGCGCATGGCTCTTTTAACTGAAGCAAACATGCCCTCTTCAACTTTACTGAGCCACTCTTCGACGGCGCCGCGTGCTTTTAGACCTTTTTGAAAGAATAATTTTTCGCCTTCTGGCGACATGAATGCTAAAATATCATTGGTTGGCACCATTTTCCCCGAGCCGTCATCTTTCTGACCGAATTCTAAACGATATATGGCATCAAAGCATTTGCGCAAATGCGGCTGAACGGCCTGAGGAACCCGAGTTTGAGCGAGTATCTCCAATAGTTCATCATTTGACAAAAAATAAAACCTAAATTTACGAAAGAAATTTCGATTTTGGTTATTTGCATAGAGTTCGGAGATTTAAAATAGTTTCTATCTAACCTGGGAAATACGACACGTTTCACCTCTAAATACGCTTCCAAGCCGCGGTTTATTAAATCAAGTAATCTATTATTTTCCTTTAAAAGAAGGTAATTGGCCGTGGAAGACATCACAGGTAAAGCTAATGAAACTTTCTTCGCGGTTCTCACCATATCCTTGAAGCTTTTGTCTACTTGAAAAAACATTTTGGCCTCTTGAGGCAATTGTCGTTGGATATCGGGTGAGGCAAATATAGCCTCTAAATAAATCCAAGTTGTTTGGCATTCAATCCATAATTCTGAAAGAAGATATGTAATGAGTGTGCAAATAAAATACAATTTCAGTTAACAGAGTTTCAGTTGCCTTCACCTAAAGTCTTGCCGAATTGCTCCAAGTGTTCCAGCCATTCATCGACTTTATGTTTTATAGTGCGTACATATTTGGATGCAGCAATTGTATTCATATTAACTGTGGAATCATCTAAGACTGCTTGCAATTCTTCTTGACCAGCCAAAACGAAAACGTCCTTCTGATCATGATGACTAACAACGGCCAATTCCTGATCTTTCCAGACAGCTTCAACGGCCTTGAGCATAGCTTCAAGTTGAAATTCCCCAGTTGCTTGAGACGAGATATCCATTAATGCAGCCGCCATGCTTTCATCGAAAGCATTCGCTTGTTCAAATGTAGAAATTAAAATGTTCGGCTCTTGGTAGAGTTTGCGACCTAAAATGCCTTCAAGCTCTGCCCAATGGCGCTAAAATATTTATGCATTATATAGAGCATTTTTATTAGTGAGTATACCGTAATAAAAGCATTTACAAACCGGTCGAAAGTTCGGATTTCTTAGATAGCCGATAACAGGTAGCTTCAATTTGAATTCCTCTGCGGCTGTTTTCAGTGCTGGAACAATGTTATTCTCCGGCAAGTATTTCTCAAATTGCATACAATTCTTAATGGTTTTCACTGTTAAATCAGTTAATTCAGAAACCGATAACGTATTGAATTCCGATGCCATCCAACGCTGATAAGCCGTTTCCCATTCGATGACGGAATTGTGTAGATGCTGACGTAAACGGATTTCAGAGAAAGCCATATCCATTTCTTCATATTTAGTGATATCAATCTGAAAACGGAGCAATGGCAAGCTTGATTAATTATGACTGCCTAGACTGAAGAGACCTTTACCGCAATTATTTTACCTTGAATTTCTTTTGATAGCCAATATATTCAGCAGCTTTCTCGTGTAAAACGTTTAAATCTTTCAGTAGGGAATCCAATTTAGAAAGCACTTGCTTACGAGGAGTTTTTTTCTGAAATTGGATTATGCGAAAAATCAAATCTGATTGACGCACTAAAACGAAATTTTCCAACCAATGTATATCTCAACATTATTTATTAGTGAATGAAGAAATGAATTCGTTCCGGTTGCGATACGCAGAAGGCAGTAAGACGCATAAAAGCTTATATATTTTGAAATTTTTGCCTATTGCTAGCGTGGGGTTATAAGCGAATCACACTTTTATTCAAATTTTGTCTGTATATGTACGGCCTACTTTTGGCTTTTTTCATCAATATTCACGCGGAGAGACAGACGTGAAAAACTTTAAAACTTACATTGTCCAAGAATATATATGAACGTAAAGTTTTCTGATGAATACCTCCGAGTATTGCGGATGGAAGGACAAATTCCAAATACCAATATTCTTGGTGAATGGCCCGGAAGAAGAGGTCTCAAAAGAAGGGAAGTCTTTAAACATTTTCATTAATGATTTGCAAATGTTCGCCATCTCTTGATAATGCTGACAATGTACCTTAGATCCAATGACGATTTGCATATATTTAGCTTAGAATGTGAATATCAAGGCATCTTTTCAATCTAAGTCTCTTGCGTTGACAAGGAAAGAAGGAGGCTTTCTCGAAATTTTCCATTTTCTCAAGCCTTTAAAAATTGTTGTTAACTATGATTCCTTTTTAAATCGATTTACGAAATATTTTCGTAACGCGACTCGTAATTTTCTTAATAGTGAGTAATTGAAACTTACATCAAGCAATTTAGGATCTAAGATCTGGATATAAATTTCATGGGTTTCCTCAAATATTAATTTTATATCGTCGTTCATTTTCTCTTCCAGTTTCTTAATAAATTGCGGTCGCTTCGCCTGAATCTCTTTCAATTTATCAAAAGTGCGATTAACCATATCTTCACAATCCATATAATCCTCTTTTCGTTCATTATCGATCGGTATTGAAAAGTCTTTGATGATAATAAAAACGTCATGAGCGTAATCAACATCGGCGAACAATTGTTGCATTTCTTCTTCAATTCCTTCCAAGAGAGCGATATGACTAACAATTTCCAAAGTTGTTTCCGGCTCAGCAGTAATACGCAGCAAAACATCACGTGCGTTATCGGTAATGTGTTCAACCTCTTCCGCAGCCAATCTAAGATAGATAGCAAATGCAGTTAATTTGCTTGCATTCAAGCGCTTGATAATTTATAGCCGTACCGTGGCAGGTATGTCGCTAGAACATTTTGTAATTTAACGCACACTGGTGTAACCGTATCTTTAAAGCTCCCTTGCATTAGTTTCAACAAACCCAAATTCACTACCGACAATATGCCATCCAAAGCTTTAACATTGTTACAGTAGCGGTCACAATAGGCACGCAAAGCTTCAAGATCTGACAAAAACAAAAAAAACCAAAAAAATAGAAATAAATACCAGATGTTTCGTTACTCGAAATGAAAAAAACAATTAACCTTTTTCTGTTCTTAGCGTATTTGGATCGGTGCAAGTATCAATTTCATAATTATGACGTATAGACTCGAAACGAAAGGTATAAAGTTCCGCTTTCTCATATGCTTGACGTATGTATATATTAATAAGTTTGCTGTAAATTCGGAGCGCAAACGCATAAGGACAAGAAAGGTATAAACTTAATAGATACTAATCATTATGTAAGATGTAATCACCGATTGCGCTGAAAGTCAGGATCCGTGCGTAATAAAAAACTCAGATCGGGCGGTATTCCAGCTAAACGTTCTTCTTGTCTACCCATAATAGATGGCCTAGAAGTGAAAAGCATTAAAAATGAGTAATGAAGAAATCCACAGTGTACAGGTTCTACGCACTCAGTGAACTTCAAATAGGTCTTATCATCGGTAAAGTTATCAATTTCAGTCACTGTTTCCAATATTAACGTAGATATGCGATTAAATATATGTTTCATTATTTCTCTAATTAAAAGGTATAAAAAGAAATTATTTCAAAAGGTGTTTTTTCTTTTTTTTCCCGCTTACTCTGAAGGCTCAATGTCGATTCGATCCGGTAATAAGTGCAAATTCGCTACAAAAAATGGAGCCTAAGGTAGAGAGAATAACAAATAAATGATTGAATGCCGGGAATAATTGAGTTCTAAATGAATTTCACATAAATTTAGTTTTAAACGTAGACAGGCGGTAGTCCACGTATTCGGGATAAGGTAGAGTGCAGTTTGTTCATTTTATTAAGGGGCAGAATTGCATTAAAATAGTTTGCTTCTTAACGGAAATGTTAGCTTAAATGATCAAGAGAATATATACGAAGAAGATTGTAGGCGTGGCAAAATTTGAAATGGTACAAGTATTAGATTTTCTAACCACAAGTGAATGGGAGCATACTCTTTTTTAAAGAGTAGTAACATTTTCCATGAAAAAAAGATTGACTTGGCTGTGCCGTCCTTTTATGTTATTAAAAAATAATTCAAATCCTTACATAACCGACCATTCGCTTAATACAATTATTTATATGACTTTTCAACGGGAATGGTCGAATCCGAACCATTACTCAATAGCGTTCATTCTTGGACTAAAAGCTGTCATCAAAATATCTCAAAAATCGTGGACAGACCGACAAGCTTAAATCATTTCAGAATTACTTTCGATATATAAGCAAAGACTATCTCAAGTTTTGTATGCACTGAATATGTATATATATATAGGTAAAAACTTAACATACTCGTGCACCCCAAATGACGTGAGGTATATTGGACAGACAAGCTTAGCTCATTTCAGACTCGCTTTCGGTATACAAGTAAAGACTATCCTCAAGTCGTGTATGCAGTGTATATATACGTACAAACTTACTCGTGTACCACAAGTGGCGTGGGGTATTTTTAGGACATCTCATCATAACATAGCTCGCTCCCCTATAATAATTGTCTTACCTGGGGGAAATTCTCTGTTCTCTCGGCCTCTAATTGCTCGTGCAAAGTTAAATTTTCTTTTAATAACTCTTTGCTTGGGCTGGCAATATCATGAATTTCCATCGCCTTTACGAGATCATAGAAACTGTGACATGTAACTTTGAACAACATATGATACATAAGACAATCGCAGTAACTAAGGAAGCTAAGAATGGAATAAAGCTATCTGTCGGTATGGTTGCTTCTAAGCTGTATTTGTAAAGATTCGTACTTGGAAAGAATTTTGCAAAAATTACGTTTACGTGCACGATCCATGAAGCTCATGGCATCGCGCATTTTCTTAATTGACGGATAATAATTGATTTCGTCGTCGGGGAAGAAGCCACGTTCTGTAATAGCCGTTAAGCACGCCTCATCTATATAAATGTGAAAAGAGATTTTAAAAATAATATAACGTCCGTACGCAGTCAAAGCATACACAAAAGTTTTTTGGTTTTTTCGCGAAACTCTCGGAAGGTGAGTCTTAATTTTTCGTAGATTTTCATATGGATTTCCAGAAAATAGAACGGATGCCACTCTTCAATGACTATACAAAGAAAAGAAACCAATCTATTAATAACAAAAAAAAAAAAGAAAGAAAAATGAAGAGAAAAAAGATGGGGGAATAGTTTCCCCATTTGCTTGCCGGTAACATTTACGAAATTACTGCGTTGCAACACCACTAACTCGCTACGTAATTTTAAAATGGCATTAGCAAGAGGAGGTATAGCGATTAGTAAGTGATCTTGGAGATATGTTCTAGCCTCGCCTTGTTTCTTCCACTTAATCGTCTTCTCCCAAACTTTGAAACCCTTCCATATGCGAAAGACCGCGAACGTACGGATCTTAATGATACTTAAAAATTGCTGAAACTCTTGCTGCCATTGCAGTAAAGGTGTGAAGAAATTCTCAGACAAATGCCAATAGGTGACGCCATGACGGCTCATGGTAAAAAATAGTTGTTTATTAGGTAGATCGTCATAAGTGAATTCTCTGGTTTTTTTTTTTTTTTTTAGAAGGTCAAATAGAAAAGTTAGTGATAATAATTAAATGAACACATAGTGCGGTTTTGCTTACTTTAGACTGTAGGGTGTGAAATATTCACTTGTTTTTGGTAGCATGTAATTCAAATAAATGAAACGATCATCTGGCATATTGCGCATGCGTTCAACTATAACGTTCAAATCGGGTATTAGAGAGGCTCCAGTTTTTATAGTGTACGTGCTTTCCAGATCATAAATTGTTCTACCCGAAAGTGGTTTAGCAGATCGGTCAAAATGTCTGCTACGCTCGGTACGAGTCTTTTCAACACTCTTCTCCGTAAATTTAACCGACATTTTTAATTAGTTTAGATCCCCGATTCAATATTAATTTCTTCTTTTTTTTAATTTTTATTTTTTATAAATTATATTTCAATCTCTTTTTTCTATTGATATTTTTTTTTTCTTGTTGTATTCAAACGTTTGAATACATTCCACGTATGGCCAGAAAATTTTTTCTCTATAATCGTTTGATTGTTGAACAAACAAGTCCTTATTGATTTTGTTATAGCAACGAAATTATTATCATTTGTAAGTATATATTGTTCCAGAGTCTCTGACGTTGTTGTTCGTCTAGGGCGACTCTGTTATCAAAATGTGGAATAAATCAAAGCATTTTAAGCAAAATATTTTCATATTTACAATACCCGGTGAATAAAATTTATTTAAATTGGAAGCGCATTGCAGTATCGTTGAAATTTCCTCCAACTACCTATTTTGTACGTATTTTTAGCTATATATATATATATATATATATACATATATGCTTTTCTTAGAATATCATATTTGTTATTATACTTTTCCAATTACAACGGTAGAATTAAGTGTAAAAAGGAAGCAAATCACTTCGTCCATCCAAAATTAGAAAAAATCCAATTAGAAATTTATATTTTAGTGTTCAGTGTCAGTGTTCAGTGTTCAGTCAGAAATATTTGTCTTCCTCAGAGCTTCGATTGTTATTTCTGATACAGGGATTTACAATTCCTTCAATTTTTGGCTCAAAGGTAGTCTACACATCGCATAACCGATGAATTTGGATTTATTATCCAGCATGTTGCAGGCATTCGCTCTATGTTTTTTCTCCTTGAATGCTTGTATCTTGCTACCTATCTATCAATCTTTAAAGTGTGAGTACTGAAATGTTCGTAACACTCTTCTAAGGGCTGGTGTGCGAATTGAGGTACGCAATGCTGTATAACGAGGCCATAGACTTTGGCATATTGAAGCGTACGATTTTAGGGAGAGGAAATTAAATGTAAATAATAAAATTTGAGAATGCCGCTTAAAGCTTATCAAAATTTTCTTGAGGACACTAAAATCGGAAAGATGTTGAAACGCCAGCCCCTATGATTGTTCTATTATAAACAAGTAAACACGTTATAGTGAAACACGGTCCACCATTAAATCACCCACACCAATTCGCTTAAAACGGTTGCTCATATAATGGAGCTTTAAAATAAGGTCTTATATTGGAAGTGTGCGAAAGGATGGTCCAAACCAAAGAGTTTTTTATAGCACTCACCTTTAAGACAAAACGTGTCGTCGTGCCCAATTTCATCAAAATATCTCGAACCAACTATACGTTACGGGCAAGACGGGCAGTTGGATAGACGGACAGATGGACAGATACATAGATAAACTTAGATCGCATCAAAAATTGACTCTGAATCGATCAATATAATAAAAGATAGGTCTGTCTCAATTCTATCAACGCTTGTTAACGCTACGTTTAGATCTTATGGACTGATTGTACATTTAACGGAGACCTCTAAATGAATTTTACAAGTTTGAAAGAGACATGTGTAATATGTTTGTGATGGGCGGACACAGGGCCGACTTCCGCAGGTTCGACTTTATCGAAACAAAACTAATATAGTACAATGCAACGATTCGATTGCATCTGCTCCAATACAATGATTAAATTGAAACAGCTGTACTTGCCTTCCTCGCCTCATTGAAGCGAAGGGGAAACGTTTCACATGATAACTTTGCATTATTACAAAATTTCTATGACGAAACTGAATGCCGTGTATGCGCAGTTGAGCTATGTAAATTACTAATATAAGGATCTCTCTCTCTCTCTCTCTCTCTCTCTCTCTCTCTCTCTCTGTCCCAACAAACCACAAAAGGAAGTGCTTCATTTATTAATATTATGCATTTTCATGCAAGTTGCGCTTTTAGTCAAAGTAAAAGATTACATAACTTGGCCAATCAAAACCGCAAGACTTGATAGTAAAGAGAATGAAGCGTTTTTCTATGCCATCGGCGTAATGCACGATATAACTACTCAAAAATTTGTTCCGTTATGTAATGAGCGCGAGGGAGTTTCGCCACGCACGGGAACAACACATGTGGAAGAGCGCAATAAACTGCCAGTAATGGATTTAATTGACTTTAAAGGACTTCATGCCTGTCGATCGTTAATGATCAAAACACTTAATCAAGAAGAGAATAATTTACTTGCGGAACCATAGACTTAATCATATGTTTGGCATCAGGTTAGGACCTACTATTGCTTTAATTATTACAATTCGTTTCGATGAGCAATAGCAACTAAGGCAATCGCATCTTTTTTTTAGCAAAAGTAGAAGTAGCAATTACTGATGTAGAAGAAGAGTGTTTCTAGTTAGTAAGCTTACCGACACGTTTGCATTGAGTTCAACACGATAAGAATCTTCTTAAGAAGAAATCAAAAAAAAATTTGTTTCATTTCGCTTAAGAGAAATTAACTTTTGTAAAACCTTTTGGATCGATATAACTTTTCCCAATGATTGTGATTTTAAATGAAACATATAAATTTCCTCAACAGACGCCGAGTGAGATATCATTTGGTGTAAGTGAGGAATAGAATTTGAGGCGCACACTAGCGATTTCAAATGGAAATGTTTAAAGACGCGATGAGAGGTCTTCGGCGTTTGTTTCATTAGCGCTTATAAATATTTGACAGATCTAACTTAGCCCCTGCGATGGTATTTTCTTCTTAGTATAGTACTTGCCCATCCTCCATCTGTGATGAGTACAACGAAGTAAGCTTTACGTTAAAACTGGACGAATCACAGAAATAATGGAGGCAACGTGCACATATGATCTTCTTAGCTATTATAGATGGGTTTGATGGGTTTGAATTTCTTACAAGATTTGTGGGGCAGAAAAACTTACGAGAGACGTATGTTTTATTAATCCATCGATTCGAAATCATTTTCTGAATCGATTTAAGCTTGTTTGTCCAACTGTCCGTCTTTTATTCTTGTGTTAAACCCATTTGTAGCAATTTTTGAGAGGTTTCCATAACGTGTTCTGGCCGAAGCACGAACGCTATTGTAATTGGATCAGATCCGACCATTTTGCAACTTCAGTGCAACTACAATGTTTTTAGCTGCAATCCTGGCAATCCTGGTGAGCTTTCTGTCACAATTCACTTAATTTTAGAACTCATAATGCATCAACAAGAAGGATTGGATTAAAATTAAGTTTTGATCTAGAATGAAACAGTGTTTCATGGAACGTTTCCTAGCTTTTTGTCTTAGGCGCTAAAGGATTTAGTTTCCGGAGCGCTTCACCTTTTTAATGTCAACGAAAGGAGAAAAATTTCTTCTTCATTTCTTTTTGAATTTAGTAAAGATGTTTTTATTTAAATATATATATATATATATTTTATATATATATATATTACGCATAGGTATATAATCGATAATGCGTTACAATAATTTATTTTATTTTATTTACATATAAAAAACTTTTTCACTATTCTAAATAAAAGTCTAAGGAAAAGCTGCACATATACGTACATATGTATACTATGTAAACGTGTACAATGACCACTGCTATCAAATATACAAAAAAAAAAACAAAAAAAAAAAAAAATATAAAAAAATAAAAAAACTAAAAAAAAACATTCAAAATAAAAATTAAAATCAAAAAATAAAAGCTTAAGTAAAGTAGTTTTTCGTACAATAATTTGTGATTTCATTATTTCCACTTATAATGCCGCTAATGGCACACTAAATATTGCGAATCAAATTTTAAACTAATTTTCTTTAACGCTTGAAGATTGGGTTGATTTTGTTTTTGTTTTTTTTTTCTCTCTCTCTCTCTCTTTTAATGAATAAATCGATTTAACTTAACTTTATGTGTGAATAAGCTGAACCAAGTTATTCATAATAAGCAATTTCTGTTTTTTGTTTTATTATTAAACAAATCGAATTTATCAAAAGTTTTATTAATTTTTTTCTTTTCTTTAAATGAAAAGAAGAAATTTAATAAAACCGTAAACGTTTTCCTAATCTTAGGATATGGAAACTATTACAACAGTTTAAACTTTGTTTGTATGTCTTTAAGCCTATTTTAAATAAAATATGAAAGAAAGTAACAAAAAAAAAAAAAAAAAAAAAAAAGAAGGGAAGAGAACTTTGTTGACTTTTGTGGACCCTACACTGTAGAAAATAAGTATAAATTAAATGCTAAACAAGCTTTATGTTACAAACTAAACAGATTTGCTTTCGTTGTGCGCTTCTTCTTCTTCGTCTTCATCATCGTCTCTTTTTTTTTGTTTTTTATATTTTTTTCTCTCCTTAAAAGTGCTTTAGCTTTGTGATATTGCAGTCTGGTTTGTCCATGTGTGCGTGTGTACATGTGCGTGCTTCTCTATTTAATTTGATGATGCTACAGATGTTTGTTCTACGTTAATGGTTATGATCATAGTTGGTCAATAGTGGCCGCCGCTGTGTCGATGATGTTCCCTTCGTCCCACCGAATGATCGCGATAATCGCCATTACGTGTTGAGCCACCCTTATGATGATGATGATGATGTCGTTTCTTCTCTCCTTTTTAATAAACGAAACAAAAACAAAGAGAGCAGAATGTAAAAAAATTGCAAAAATTATAATTAATTATAGATGGTTACGAGAAGGAATTATTCCTAAAATTGTTATTCCGTCAGGGTTTTTTTTTTCTACATATTTTTCTTATTTAATGTACTTCTGATAAGGAAAGCAAATATTTCAAGGTCACTTAGCAATTTGTTAAAACATTTATTACGATTTATATACAAAACATTTTTTAATTGCTTTCTTTCGTTTTCATTTCTTTTTTTTTTGTTTGCTAGTCTGAGACTATTATACGCTTTGACAAGTTGTTGTAAAGCCGCGGTATTTGTATTTTCACACCCACCATCACCGAGAGATGAGAGGTGTATTAGTTTTGTTAAACCGTTGGCAACGCACAGAAGGAAGCATCAGAGACCCCAGAGCATGATTTTTATCAAAATTCTTTGTATCTGACAAACGATACATGGATGGTATTTTAATTTCTCTACAATATATGTAAGTAAATCTATTGGAAAAGAATTATTTAACAATGTGAAATCAAGAAAAAAATGTAAAAAATGGATTTTTAATGAAATGTATATCATATTTTCGGACAAAGAACATAAATGCTTAAGAAACGATAAGAAAAATTAATGTATTTATTAATAATAATTTGAATTAAATAGAATTGAAATTGGTTTAGAATTTTAATATACAAGTATGTGTGTTATTTATTTTCTTTTATAAGCGTTTACCTTTTATACAAGCATCAGATACTACCATCTCGGAATTTTCGCGCATGCCATAATTGTCACGGCCGCATCTAGTTGGAAAAAGAAATTTACAAGTAACAATTATGTATAACAGGACATATATGGGATATATATATATATATATATATATATATATATATGTAGATACCTTTCTAAATTCTCCCTAGATCTTTGTATATTTTCTCGTAAATTATCACGTGAACGTATCATATTTGGTGGATCTAAGGTTTCTTTACGCCGTAAAGCATTATGCGAACTATTCTTCGATGCGGATTCATGTAGATTTTCCCAAGCTTGTCTATAATATCTATAAAACATACTAAAATTTTTACAAATTTGTTTGTTATTCTTTTAAAAATTACAAAATTATTTACCTATTTAGACCGTTCCGGGAACCAGATGTAGAACTATCAAAGGAAGCGACTGTATTGCAATCGGGTGAAGCGCGATGACGATAATGTTGTGTAGTACGATTTCTGTAAAAGATTTTCATTAAGAAAATTATTTTGAAGAATCATTCCAGATAGGAAAAAAAAAAAAAAAACAGGAAACAGGAAAGAAAAATTTTGGAAATAATTCATGCTAAGTTTTACTTTACGGTTAGACACAATGTTGTTGTTTCAGTGTTTGAAAGGTATCGAAAAAAAAAAAACAAAATATTGTAATTGTGTTAAGAAAGAAATTTCGGTAAATTTCATTCTATATGCTATCTCTTTTTCCCGTTTTCCCTTCGCTTATCTATCGCAAATCGCATGTATGTATATATGTATATATGTACCGCAATTACTTTCCTGATTAACCAATAGAATAGTATTCTGTGATATATATAAACGTATGTGAAATTAGTTGAGTGAAAAAACGTTAAATACATGAGAAAGTTATTGACTTAATAGAGAGAAAGAAATTGTTAACGTGCATTAAATCCATATTATAATTCGTAGTCCCATAACTAAATTATGTCCATGTCACCGTGCTTAAGTTTTTACGTCCACAATTTAAGAGTATGACAAATGTTAATTACAAAAAAAAAAAAAAAAAAAACAATAACAATACAGAAAAAAACAACAAGAGATTAAAAATATGTGACGTGCAACAGCAACAGGCGGCATATGCAAATCATGTGTGTTGAGCATTTGTTTATAAAACACAATCACTTTCCCGGTACAATAATACAACAATTACGTACATATTGATGTGAAATGTGAATTTTAACAAATACGAGCAAATATTATTAAAATTTTAAACAGCTTACATGTTTAAACTAATTTATAAATTCTATTGGTTTTCGTTATGGCCTCGCAATTGTACATTGATTTATTTTCCTCTCTTTCACTCTCTCTCTCTCTCTCTTTCTCTTTGGCACTTATTTTCCAATATTAAAATTTTATGATATTAAGTTTCTTTTTTGTTTTTGTTTCATTTTTGATTTTTGAGATTATTTCGCTGAAATTTTCGTCTTAATAATAATAATCGGTTTCCATTCTATTCGATTTCTCTTGCATTTCTAGCTGTTTTTGCTCATCTTTCTTTTTATTATCTTTTTCCGCATTATTATTATTATTATTATTATTATTATTGTTGTTGTTGTTGTTATTAT